TAGCCTGCGAACAGGCTCACAAGCTGAATTGAGAGCCTGCATCGATGACTAATGAATTTGAATATCTGCGTCTCAAATCGTGACGCGAAATTCTCATTGGTCAGATGCTATAATTTATATGTTTCCGCTGAGCTCTATATATGTCAACTGCTGAAGCACTATGCATAAAAAACACATTAACTGATCAAATTGGTCTTATCTCAAAGCACGAAATGTTCTGTTTTGAGAAAACAGTATTTAAAACATTTGAACTTTTGCTTGAATATCTTATATTTCGAAAAACAGTATAAACTGTACGGTCTAAATTTAGTTTGCACGAAAGTTGTAAACAACACCATATAAGGATAGACATTCCATATTTGGAAAAACGAACGTTATGGGGCAGATATTCAAATTCATTAGTCATCGATGCCGATTCTCAATTCAGCTTGAGAGCCTGTTCACAGGCCTCTCTCCTCCGCAGAGGCTTTAGTTTTCTTAGGATTTAATATTATGATGAGATACATTTCACTACACTTTACATGGCGGATCTTGGAACACGAGCGTAGCCGCTGGGCGAAGGAGCGCAGGCGGCAAAGGGAAAGGCGAAGGAAGGCGCGAAGCCTCTGCACGATTTGCATCGCAAAGTGGGACAAAGTGGGACAAAGTGTAAACATCGAAACAAAAGGTGATTTTTAAGCTAAACAAGAAACGTCTTTTTGAAAATTAAATCATTATTATTAATTATTATGAAAATTAAATCATTATATTATTGATTGACCTCGTTGACTAGTGCTTGCATGTTTGTGGATGGTCAAAAGTAATATTTTTTAACATTTAATACACAAAGCAAACAATCGTATATTTTACTCACCGCTTGGCCAAACATTCTGTATTTCGTATCGAGAAAAACTTGAATATTTCTTGAACTCTTCGGAATTCGCCACCAGTCAAAGAAGTAAAATACTCCTTGTATTCAAGGGCTTTCGTGTAGAAAATTTCTTTTGAATACGGCCAGTAGAAATATTTATTTTTAATTTTTCAAAATATCGCGTTTTTACTCGCACAGTCGCACGCGCCTGCCACACGCTGATGTTCGGGAATTAGTTCACAATCAGACCAGGAATGGAAATACCATAATAAAAGATGAAGTTTTCAAGATACAAGCTCAAAAAAACACTCTAAGTAGTGTTTTGAATTCGCTTTCGAACAAGAGTAATACAAAGAGGATGCGTCCCAAGGAGCCGAAGTGATGTTCGCCTAAAGGTATGCCTAGTTTATATTTTTATCAAGTGCATGTAAACATTGCGTGATTTGATATATTTAATATACAAAATCCCGCTTGACTTTCAAAGGTCATAAATCGCTATAGTGTTGACATTTCACTAAAACTATCGATAGAAACTAGGAGAAAGATATTTTTGTACTGAATCGAACGGTTGTATTTTCATCTACATAGCATATATTGAACCAAAGATACGAACCTCCAAATAAATCAGGTCGAAACCGACTGAAGGTCGCGTTTGTTTATAAATATTGCTGAAGTTGAAATAGTTGAATTGTATTTTCAGTCTTGATAATAAATTTAATAATGGTTCTGTATGCTATACATACTCATTTTTTTTCTGTTATGCGGTTTTGGACACATTTCTAAAAATACAAATGTCAAATATAAATTTAAATAAAAGTTTCTTCGCTTGCAACCAAAACCTGTTCGCTAAATACGTTGTTTCCGTGCATTGTTTTATACTGTAGTCTGTAGATGGAGACCTTGTCTAGAAAAAATGCAGATGTTTTCTCGCAAACTGAACATAACACTTTCTTATTTCGTAGAGCTAGTAAATAATCTCTTTGTCAGCTTGTTGCAGTATTGTAAAGAGATATTTTCTCAGTCATTTTGACTTGAATTTTGCGTTTGATAATTATACGCCCCCCCCCCGGTTTACCGCCATATTGGGTGTGGCATCGTGCAGAGGCTTCGCGCCTTCATAGCCAATTAAAGCATCTGCGGAGGAGAGAGTTCACAGGCTATGTATAAGATGGAACGAATGTCGAGACAGTGAGAGGATATGAGAGGACGGGCGGGGCAGATGCAGTTTCAACTGAAGGTTGACTTAGTTTACTAATGATCAAAAGGGCCCAGTTCATCTGGTTTCACGTTTGTCAGAGTGTTCCAGAAATGGAGATAGAAATCACGCCAGAGTCCGGTACTTCTGATGATGAAAAAACTAACGTTGTAGATGTTTTTAGAAACATTCCAGAGATTGATGACAGTGACCTGATTTGTATGTTGATGATGAACTGCATGTAGAGTCTGTAGACGAGGAAGTGGAGAATAATCAGGAAAACGATCTAGTAGTCAGATTTAAACGAAACTGGCACATCTGCCAACATGAACGGGTTGTTGACGATTTCTTCATCCACAACCAGGTCTAGGAGAAGACCAAAACCCAAAAACATGGAAGACTTCTTCTAGTTTAATATTAAAATGTGTAGGAGAAAGATAAATCTCCAAAACATAGTGAGAAATTTAATTATGTACACTATATTATTGAAATTGCATACCATAAAATCAAATCTCTTCAATAATAGAGCATTCCTTGTTTGATAACAATTCACTGAAACTAGGGCTAGGCATCTAGAAATTAAAAATGGGCTGGGGCGGGGGCTGTGTGAAAAATGTTCAGACTGTCAAGAGGGGACTACATTTTTTAACACATTAAATGGGGGGGGGGCATTTCTATTATGCTGTTTGAATTTTACAAACCACCAGCCCCCCCCCCCCAAGCCATAAATAATGAATTACCTTCCCATATTAATTAAATGGCTATAGTTAGGGGGAGGACGAGGGTGGGAAAAGCTAGGGGGGGGGATGCGAAGGCGAGAGAAAGAGAGCCTAGCAATTTTGAAGCAATTACTAATACTTCATGTTAAATCAATGCATGTATTTCTAGTACGCGATTGTATTGTTGATTTTCTCGACAGATTTCGATCTTAAAGGATCTCTGTGAACGATTCTGTGTAGTATAACTATGAAAGTTGCCGCCGGAATGTGCGAATTCGAATTTCAGGTTCGTGAGAAAATATATTCCGATATTATACGACAGCCCGCCTCAAAATTCTCATAGTGTAAACACGGGATGTAACCAGCTCGGAAAAGCTACCTCGGGTACCTGGGCTGGCTCGCCTCCTCAACTCAACTCAGGGCCGGGCGGTGAAACACAAGGGTTAGGGGGCTATAGCCCGGCCCAGTATGCCAAAAAACCCGATCAGAATAAGACATTAATACGAAGATTCTTGATCGCTGCTTCAAAGACAAAGTGAGCGAAATTATGGTCAATGAAATATAACAGGGGGCTAAGCCGCCCTAAAAATAGATCAAGTCGTATATATGCATGTCTTGTTTCAAATGCGTGAGCCGCTTTTTCCATCGCCATGCAGGTAGTTTAATTATGCTAATTTCCTGGCGATTTTATCCCCGCACCAAGTCATTCAAATCGACCAAAACGTGAATTATGAAGCAATTTTTCCAGCATGCATGGTATGGTCCAACTGCCACGCAAAACATGGTCCAACTGTAACACTCAGGCTCAGCAGTGCAGCGCCGAGAAAGATATTTAAATTTAGGAACGTTCAAAACTCGGGGATTTCGGAGGCACGCTGCCCCGGGAAAATTTGAAAACTAAATTGAGGTTTGGAAATGCCATTTCTTGCACTTTCTGGGCGCGGCCACTGAATCGACTATACAGGTGTCCCCATAGATATTGTATATACACTAGATAGCGCATCTCTCGAAGTAAAATTGAAGCCAAGAATATTCCAGCCGTTACCCCCATTTGAATAGATGGCGGCCATTTGGAGTTTCCCACTGGCTAATAAACGCTTAAAAAACCCAACAACTTTCATCATTTAAACCGTTTGAAAATGTATTTGGAATAGGTTTAACTTAATGTTTAAATTCCCTGTTTAAGAAATCTAAAACATACGAGCTTTCTCATTTCATGGGAATATCCTGAGCCTGCAATCACGGCTTCAATTTTTGAATTGTAGAATAATTAGATGCACTATCTAGTGTATATAAGATATCTATGGGTGTCCCCCAAAAAGCCCCCCTATAGAAATCACTCTTTTGTTGTTAAACGTGCGTACTAATTGTTATCACCGCTGGGAATTTAAAATGTATAGCTTCTAAAACGGAACAATATCAACAATATCAAATTAATTACAAATTCGTCTCACCATTTCGAGTAAAAATGGTTCGACTGATTGCAGAGCAACGAGTATTTGTCGTAACAACTTATACGTTAACGCAAAGTGTAATTTCCAAATTGGGGGGGGGGGACATTTTGGGGGACACCTTGTATATAATTTTTTATTAAGCAGTACATAGTTACTTATCCTATTTCTCAAAAGATTACTTTCTCGTTATTTGTATTTCAATAAGTGTACGTTGCCATGCACTTAATTAATGCACCAGAATGTTCATCTAGAATTATAGCTCTATCACTTAGCGCAAATACACACATATATAGCCAAGGTTCAAATCCGGCATATACATGGTCAAAAATCGCGTGTAATGTTGAATAGTTGGAGTGCCATTGACCTTCAACGCAATAACGAAATATCAAAAGACAGGAAAGCGGCCAAACATAAGAACATTCACATTCTTAGATATATCAATTCAGTATGAGCCTATATTCCACGTGGCCACAAGTCTGCCTGTCAAAACGTGGTGAAGTGTGAAGTAAAATGAATGACAGAATAATTTAAACGGCTTCTACTGCTCTCGTTATTAAAAAGCCAAGCCAAGGGACCTATATATGCTACAGACAACATCATGAAGCCGTTCAGGAATAAAATATACGTTGGATTGTTCTTAAAGATGGCAATAATACTACTGGGCTTTGAGAACTCTATGGCTGCGGAACAAACTCTGGCCAATTTTCCACGTAAGCTGACTGTAGTTATGAATTCTGCGTTATTTCCGCAGTTAGTCAGTAAATGTAATTGCGAATATAAATGGTTTTACGGTTGAAGGAAACCTATATCGCATGACATTGTTTTAATCTGGCCGGCTCATGCACCGCTCAAATAAATATCAGTTGATATATCAAAGCATTTTTACTAGAAATGCCGATGAGCTTGGAAAATCAACGTTTCAGCAAGGATGAAGTTTTGATTATAGTTCACAAAATTTATCGTATACGAACTGGCTTAATAAAATTACAGGCCGAGGTACCTGTCCATTCAGCAGTTAATATACCCGACTTAAACTTATTAATTACTTTTTTATTATTATTTATTCGCTATTAACTTTGTCATTATCACCAACTATATAAAACAATACTTGGACAATATACACTGCAAAATAGTGCCACCCACATGTATTGACTCAAAATAGCGAGTAAAATTATTACAGCAAATAATGATCAAATTTACTCATTTTTTTGACTAAATTAAATCTTTAATTTACTTAAAATATTGAGTAAATTTGAGACTAAGATCGAATGAATTTGCTAATAAATTTGAGTAATTTTACATAAAAAGTTGAGTCGCTGCATTTTTGAATTTTGAGTCAAAATATCTTCACTAGGGATTTTTTGCAGTATTATCATTACAGAAAGTCAACATGCCACGGGAATTAGGTTAATTTTAAGTGAGTCTCCGAGGGGAATTTCAATACACGCTTTTTTTTCATGTAAGGAAATAGCTTTCATGTAAGGAAATGTACTTCAATTTTTATTATTTCAGGGCTCCATTGAAAAACTCGGTAGTGGAGATGCATGGGATCTATGTTTAAAAATTGTAATAAAAAATAAGGATCAAACAAATGTGAGCTTTAGAAAAATACACAATTTTGTATCAACAGTAAGCGTCACGATAACTCTTGCCTTACATGTGTTCAATACTTTCGATTATCGCTTTTATATATATTTATTCACTTCCTGCATTCTAAACAATATCGTAACGGATAAACCAACAATGAAACAGCGTTATCTGACTCATATAACCATATCGATAAATTAACTGCACGCAATGAGAGGCCATGGGAACGAGGATGATCATTTCCCAGCCCACCCATCCTCGTCCCCAGGGCCTCTCGGCCGCGCGCGTCCTCCCTTGGCCCTGGGACACACGGAACCGGAATTGCAAGAAAAATTGCAGTAGTTTCTAAAGCGTATGCTCTTGAATTGGGGCGCTTTAGCACCCGTAACAATTTTCACAGTGAAGTATTATGAAGAAACGAAGTATTTGTGTTGACATTTGTTCAGTGATAAATAATTTTGTCTAGCAAAAACGGCTCAACTTCTGCCAAATATATAAGAGTTCTCTGAGAAGCCAATCAGATTTCTCCCTTTTGTCGTCTAACCCAGAGCCTAATTTTCAACGAGTAATCGAGTAATGGCTCTGGGGACGAGAATTCAGTTTTGATGTCATAGGGGCCTCTTGGAAAGCTTTGGCCCGGGCCCCTGACAATCACTCAGCTGGTCTGATCATTTCCAGTTTTAGTACTAAATGGATATTTACACTTAAGATAAACGCAATCTCTGACAAACACACTTTAAAAATACTTGAGAACGTGACGTACACTTGATAGTCGCTTGTCTACGATTGAGAGCCACTTTCTTGTAACGATGTACTTTAATTAGTTTGATTTTTATCACGAGAAACTATATCAGTACCGACCTGCTAGCGCTCTTAAAGCAATTCCTTATTTATTAGAGTAAGGAATATTTCAATTGTTACCCACAATACATATCGAACATTTCCATTATGGTTCTTCGCACTTTATAGTGCATGAGAAAATAACAGATTCTTTGCACTTTTCGTACGAAAATAAAATTGAAAATTTTGCTAAAACTTGAATACCATGTGCACAACCAAAGTTTTCCGCTCATGCTTTCACTTTCATGGCCAGAAATCATGGGCATAATTATTTTACTTCCTCACTAATTTGCATATCACCATGCACAACTCGTTGAAATATGACTTCCGCAGTAAACAGCAAACTATAGTAAGCGATGATGTAAATGGCAAAGGTCGTTTGCAATTTGCCTCAATTGCTTGTCAGATTAAAATCTGTGGAAATATATATATTTAGTGTAATGTTTGCCTGGTTTAAGTTATTGCCTATTTGTGGACCTGTTGACCGTGGCTGCAGTACCTTGTTACGTTCTGCGCATTATGATTTCATATCTGTAAACTGAATTCGTATATTGTTGCATTAACTCGTATTCCGCCATATTGAATTCTTTAAACTACTATTTTACTGCGCATATTTTGCAGTGTGGCGACTGGCGTACCACATTTCTGTCCATGTTTTAAATAAGACCATAATGGGCATTATGGGCTGGCTTTACTAGGCGAGATTGCGCGTGTATCCTTCTTCTCCCTTATAATTGATATCTTTTGATTATCTCCACAATACAAGAACGATCGAGTACATGTGCGTGTTTGTTTGCCTATCAGGACGACAACTTAAGGAGGCTCCCTACAGTTCCTTGCGGGATATTCGCGGGACAAGTACGGGAACTATCCCACGCAACTGCATGATCAAAACAAAACAAAAATTGACCATGCTTTTTTTAAAAATAAAGCTATTTCTGAAAGGTTTCTAATGGAAAAAAGCGTTGAATAATACTTTGTTTTGAGTGCCAAATCACTTGCGAGCAATTCTACATATGATACGAATATCACTAGACCAAAAAATAGCTACGAAACAATATTTTTAAATTTTTTTATACACTGTCAACTGACTCAACTGTAAAACATTTGCAAAATTGCATAGAAACGTTTAAAAAGTTGTTTACTTCTCAAGAAAACGTTCACGTTTTTAGTCGTGTTTCTACAAGATTAAAGTGATTATATGTAAACAGAAAAATATTTCAGTTTCATAGCCTAATTGTTCATTTTTAGCAAAAAGTACAAAACCAAACATGAAACAAAAACACGTCCACCTGTTAATAGGCTGTTACAGCTCATAGATTAAGTAAACGGCAGGATTCAATTAGCTTCAACCTTGTTTTCATCGATTTAATCCTTCACAATAATCCTTGGCTGTCCATAGCACTCAAATAAATCGAAAAGTTGACAAAAACAAAACAGTAAAAACAACATTGCGGCTCGATTTTGCTGAATGAAAACTCGTTCTGCGCCCGCGTACAATCTTTTACTAGCAGCGACGCTTTTCAATAAGGGAATTTCTCGAGTTACACGAGGCTATTTTCTAACTTTATTTGCATTTTACTCATTAGTTTCATCGGTGACCTATCTTCAAATTTTGACCACGAATTTATTTTGCGGTAAATTTTATAAATTTCAAATTTTAAAAAAATCTGTAGTGTGGAAATTTCGCAATAAATTTTTCGCTTTTAAAAAAATCACACACTACAGAATTTTTTTAAACTTTCACCACAGTTGCAGAGCATCATTCCCTATTGATATATGAAATAAAAAAGATAGGTCACCGACATCGTTTTTGAGATAGCGGCACATTTATGGGTTAAATTGGAAGGCTTTATGCTGTCGTCATGTTGCCATGGGAACATTGACATCGTCGAAATCTAGTTCGAAATATTCCTTAGGTGACCAATATTGCCACCAAGTCGAAAAGAATTCGCGTTCTGCACAAATAAGCCTGTTTTACGGAATTATTGCTTAAACAAGAATAACTGTAGGGAGCCACCTTAAAAGTATCAAACGTATTAAATAATGCAGAAATTTGCGGGTTTAATGGATATTGCCCAAAAACAAACTGATTAAATTTTGGTTAAATTTGGTTATTTGGATATAAAAATTGGATGAGAAATTAGGAAACTTAAGTGAGTCAACTGAATGCGTAATAATAGCCTATTGTATAATTTTTGCATCATACATAAACATGATTTTTTCTGTGCTGGTGTACTCAAGTGAATATGATGCTTGTGATGTTACTCTGAGTGTATATCCACACCGGGCAAGCTTGAAAAATATGCCTGTGCACGGTGGGAATTGAACCGACCTGACCGCGTAGCTCTGCGGTTGGCAGAGCATTGGGCTAGTATTCCAAAGGTCGTAGGTTCGATTCCCACCGTGGACAGGCATATTTTTCAAGCTTGTCAGGTGTGAATATACACTCAGAGTAACATCACAAGCGTCATACATAAATAAACATATCATACATATGACAGGGCCATGCAGCCCTCCCAGGCGAGACTATTGACTACCCAAAGTCTCGCCTATAGTCTGCAAATTTCAAATTCTCATGCTCTCCCGAGGCAAGAAATTATTTTTAGATCTCTGAAACGACATTTCCTTCATTGTGGAGGCACCTGGAGAAAAATGTAATACGGTCTTAATAAATGCCTTTTCGGCAGCGTCAAATATTCTTTCAGAATATATACTTAACAATTTAATTCAGTGGGAGACATAGTCACATAGAGTCATAGAGCTTTATATTAGAACAAATTAAGGTCAGCGGATTCTATGAGAAGATGCGTGCCAGGAGGGTAAGAAGCAGCTGCGTGGTGTTTGGCGGGGGTCAGAGGATTTTTGTAAAATCATTTTATTTGAATTAGCTTTTCAACGTTAAAGGTTGTTAAATTATGATGGACTCTTAACTTGATAGGTGGCAAAATGATAGTTGGGTGGGGAAGGGGTAGGACAACGCGATCGATTCCATGGACATCTTTCCCCAGAACATTTTGAGTCTAGAGTCTTTCATAGCCAATTGGCATTTCCAAAAGTTATCGGGGTTATTTATAGTGGCGCGATTATACAGCATTTTTTATTTCAATATCTAGAAATACAAACGTGCACGTGTTCCTTTTAGTCACTAGTCTGGCAATTATGCATGGGTATACGAGGTGGGAAGGGGTCTAATGGGGAGCTCCTCTGTTCCAATAATAATAATATATGGACTTTGGAATACACCAATTCGACATACTGAGTAACTGGGGACTGCGACTGAATATGGGGGTGAAATGTGAGCTAGTTTAGCATCACGTATAATGTACCTCACGGCCAGGATTGTTGCGATGAAAGTCAATTAAAGAGTTACGGGTATATTTTTTAACTATGTCCATACTTAGTGGTTTTTTAGTGTCATTACTTAGTGGTTTTATACTGCTATAATTTTTGACACTTTAATAAAGTGAGTATTATTATTATTATTATTATTATAATGATATTGAAAATAAGTTACAAGAACCTATTTTATTTTTCTCCTGTGAATCGCAGTGAATAAAATTAATACAAAAATAAAATAGCTTCTTGTAACTTAGTTAACCCACATCGATTGAAAAGCCAGACATCCAAACCGAGTAACTAAATCATGATGCGATGGAAAACCTTTACACATGCAATTTCACTACACAAACAAGTACTAGGCCTTTGTGTGTTGTTGTCATAAAGAGTGTAAAACTTTGGATATTGACTGTAACTCGGGCGATTTCTGGTATGTGTCAGGCGATTTGTTTATACCCTAGCCAGACCACGATCCATGTCCACTGTTCAAGATGGCGCCGTTATTGATTGAGAAGTTATTTGCATCAAATTAAAAAAAATGCTATAGGAAGGCCATTCCCCGTTCCCTATATTAAAGATAGCCATTAACTTTGCCGATTTTAAAATTCCTCACATTACAATACAAACACTTTACATCCACAAGTAGCTACATGTACGTAATTTCCGATATTCTGGTTCGTTCTCAAAAAATAATCCTATTAGTAAAGGTGTAAAACACTTTTTCTTTTGTCAAGGTAGCTTTTATCAAATTGCATACCATTCTATACAATCATGATGACAGATATATTTCCTAATTTTCCTATATATGATCTATTCCAAAAAAGGTAAAAGCCATGCACATGACGACCCGCACAGCCTAAAAATTGCAACTTTTGCGGATTGAATACGCAAAAGTCCGGAAATCAGAGCGCATTATCTCATTGAATATAATTCGAAAAACTGTCATCAATCGGTTATTAGTTTCATTACTCACAGTAGGTACTCGGTTTGAAATTCTATTATTAACAAGTTATTAATTAAAAATGCATATACTGCGGGAAGCAATTTGTTATGCTCGGTTAAACATTATACAGCATAATATCAGCTGTGTGACACTAATGTGTATGAATGTATGTAGATATTAAACAGAGTCAAATGTCTTACCCTATCAACAGATATAT